AGGGAGGGGGGGGGGGAAGCCATCATCAGCATCAACATATACGTACGTCAGCCCAGGACGTGAGTTCCTCATGGGCGACAGGGACCATCGGCACCAGTGGCCTAAGCCTGGATTATGGTCTGAGACAATAATCACCTGAGCTTCTCGTGCGGTCTCTCTCTTTCTCTCTCACACACACAGTATCCTACTCTCTCGCTCTCTCCTTCGCACACACAAACTATCCTACTCTCGCTCACCCTCTACCGCACAATATCTCGCGTGCGCATCGTCGAAGCATGTGTGCACGTGGTGGTAAAGCAACCTGCAGCCTGCACTTGCTGCGGCGGTGTCCCCGACGCGCACGGCAGCGCAGCGCGTCGTCGGCGGGAACGTCAAGGACGGCGGGGAGGGCGGTCGCCGACGACATGCCCCCGCCCCCCGGCCCCTCCCCGCGGCCCGGAGTCCTGGCGCGGCGGGGCTGTCCCCAATGCTAACGGGTGCCACTCGGTGACACTTCTTGCTGTCCGCGCTGACCTCCCGTATCAGTCCTTCCTCCTCTTCCTCCTCCTGTTGATTGGTTCATGATTATTGTTATTGTAGCCGACCTGTTTACAGCCTGGCGTAGCAACAAGGATTTTGTAAAGGGAAGGGAAATATAAATCGTATTCCTGCAGGAGGAGTTAGGCAAGATTAAACCGCGGGCTGTCGGCGGGAAACCGCCCTGTTTCGGTGGTGATTGGCACAGACGCCAGACGCCACGCACACAGACTTACAAAGTGGCTCGAATGCCCAAGCTTTCATCTATCTACAAGTACATTTCACATACATATGAGTGAGAAGGCTCTATCTCTCTTTCTCCCTGTCTGTAAAATGTATGCAGTTGAAGTGGAATAATATAAATTTATGGTCGACGCAAATTACCCGTTTGAGCAATTCGACAAGCACTCTGCAACGTTGCGGTCTCGTGATGGGTGTAGTACATATAGTTTGTTGAATTGAACGAACGGCGCAATGTGAAAGAATCTGCAGAGGGCGCTGAACACATTTAGTGAGAGCAGATTACCATATAAAGAATTGTTTTCAAAACTAATGCAATCATCAAGGATTTCTACGGCCGTGCTCCAGGTCCATGGGCCTACCTGTTGCTGTTTGGCGTCAACAGAGCTCTGCCTGCGCCTCCCGGTTTTGCGGAGGGCGTCATGGGCGTCATTTCCGGTTGACGTCAGAGGTTCAAAACGATTTTTAGTCGGCGCACAAGGTGGGAGGAGAGAGGAGATGAACTGTTTAAGTAGGGCAGGAAACGAGCGGGCACACGTGATCCTGCCACTGGACAGACTCGACCTCACGTGCGCCTTGCAGTAGTGTCTGCCTATGAGTGTAGCTGGAGAGTAGCAATCAAAAAATTTAAAAAATGCATACACAATTGTTTGTAGTTGGCTGTGCTCGGTCAAGTTCTCTGACCATGGCGAATCACCATTCAAAATCGTACCACAAACAAATGACAAATGACATAGCCCCCCCCCCCCACACACACAGACACTCCTTGCCCCGAGGGGCACCCGCGGGCCCACCGCGTCCGTCCTTAGGAGAATGAATTGGGTTATTTGGGTGCGACAAACGGGCCACACCGCGCGCGCCTGGAGGCCGCGGTTTTGATCTGAGCGTGGACGTGACGGCCGGAGGGAAGTCCAGCCCGGGTCTGTCGCAGGTGTGGACCAGGACCGCCAGCGCGGGCTGCGAGTGGTATGGTGGATGGCCTGGGCCCGGGGGTGTTGGCCGCGAGCAGCAGCGCGACAAACAGGACGGACGCCTCACGGGGAGGGGTCATGGGACGCGCGGGACGCCGCACAAGGTGTTCCCCATTACCATACGGGCGGAGCGTCGCGACGCACCATAGCGGGCGGCGCGCGCGGCGCAGCACCAGCAGCACCAGCAGCAGCACGCGCGCCCAGGCGGACAAGTCGAGGAAGTCATAATGCAGCCGCGATATCGCTTCTGATCGGGCGGCGGTGCGGAGCGGTGGCCGAGATGTGCACGACGCGAATGTGACGGTGGCGACATGGGGAAGAGTTTGTGTAGGGGCCGATAAAGGAGGTGGACCCGCAGGTCGCGGCTGAGTCCTACTTTGACGACGACGACGGCGCAACTGGAAGCACTTTGCATTTCTGCGCTCATGGTTTTAGCGACGGCGGTTTGTGTTTGTTTGGCGCTGGTGTTGGTCTGATTATCCAGATAGCCAGCGCGGTGCACCCCGGTCCAATAAGGACACGGCCGGCCTTGCGTCATTGTTATATCACGTGTGCCGCGTGCGCCCGTGGACCCCCGCCCCGCCCCCGGCCGGACTTGGTCAGCGTGGTCGGTCAGGGCGCGGCAGGGCGCGACGGGGCGCGGCGGTGGACCTCCCGGCATAGCCCCACACCGACACCGACCCGCCCCACCCGCCGGCCACTCCGCGCCCCACCCATCCCTGCACACCCACAGCAGGGCCCTGCTGCCGCCGGGGCCGCGCTCATGCGGTGAGACTATGATGTAGTTCTCCTTTTCCGACAGCAAGCAAGCGGGCAGTGGCGTGGCCACTTGGACACGGACTACTACAAACCACCCCCGCTGCCCCGCCCCGCCCCGCGCAGGACCTGGAGACACACTTCGCGCCCGTTACGTGACCGCGCCTTCAGGATGGCTCCCAAACTGACATAAGCCATATCAGCTACAAAATGTGGTGTTTTGGGGGACACCCAAACTATGACACAAGTTTTCTCTTTCATGGGAAGCAGAGGGTCCTCCTGGCCTCGTGGGCCACACTCTCACCCCCGCGCTGCAGTTCAACGGACTCGGTGCGGCCCGAGGAGGGTGGTGGTTGGTGGGTACCCACTCAAGGTTCTCGCGACCGCGCCTGACGTCAGCGCCGAGGGTGTTCCTGGAGGGTAGAGGGGTGGCGCGCCGGCCTCACCACCCCGTTTTGACGTCACACAACCTCGCCCCACTTTCCAGCTCAAACGGGGGGAAACTCCAGCAGCAGCCGCAGCAGCCGCAGCAGAAACAGCAGTAGTATAACGCTCCCGGCGGGTCACTGACGTCACGACGAACAGCTTCGCCGAGTGTTGGTCTTTGCCGTAGCCCCTGTCCTGCGCAGGTGGACACGGGAGGGAGGGCCGACGCTGAACCCCAGAACGTGAAAAACTGCGACTTACAAACTTACTCCTGCTTTTGTCGCCTGGAGGCTGGAGGCCGTCGGGTATGGATAAAATGTTTTCCCGCACGGATCCAAAAATCAATTCTGGGAACCACGACGACCTCCTGTTCGTCGTGGTCGTCAATCGTCCTCCTCCTGCGCACGAGCCGGTCTGCAGCGGAGCGGGTTGCATCAGTGCGCCGGCCTGGCACTGCAGTGTTCGCCCTGGGCCCCGGGGCCGGGCCGGGCCGCGACCGAGGCGGCTTCCTGTTGGCAATCGAGGCGATATATTCGGGTCGCGGCTCGCGAACAAGTCCCTTAGAGCTGCCGATCGGCTTCCGACAGGGCGTCGTCGTCCTCCGCATACTGGACCAGAGGATGGGGAGCGCGGGGACCCGGGGCCCACCGACCATCCCACGGTCACCCGGGTCACCCCCTACCCAGGCGCTCCCCACGCCCTGCGCGAACCGGCGTTTAGCAGTTTCGGTCCGGTTCGAATCGGTTCGAGATGCCGGATCGCTCCGGCTGGGGGCGGTTATGGTCGGTTACCCGCCCGGCGACCGACTGCAGTGTATGAGAGTGTGTGCAACACACTCGTCCTGCTTGTTACGTGTATGTCATCAAAGGATCGCCAGCAACCCGCACCACGGGCTCACGCGGGCGTGGACTTGGCCCCGTCGGGCTCTTTTCGCTCTCAATAACTCAATCATATTTACCACCGACCGCCGGTTGTTTCACGCCTTGCATTGCTTCTGATTATCTAGTTCAATAAGGGAGTCGAGTTATGCCACAGGATTAGTTTGCACGAGCCAGAGCAAGTGGGTTAAGGACGACATGTCAATGAAGCGGTCCTTCCCCCTCGGACCGAAACATCGCGCGACGAAGGACAATAGGTAGGTGTGTGCTGCCTTGGACAAAAACGGACAGTTCCTGCGGACGCGTCGAGAAACCGCTCGGAGTTCGGATTCACGAGAGATCGGGCACGTCCGCCGTGTTCATCCGTTTTTGCCATTTTGAGAAAATGGAGAATAAACAAAACGAAACTGACCTTTTGATTTCCACCGCTGCGCCGCTGACGCGACGGCCCGCCCCGCGCAGACAGCCTCAGCCTCCGCACTCGCGCGCCTCGCACTACTTCCTCTCGCAGCGTGCGGTCCGTGCAGCGCGTGCGCGGGCGGGGCGGGCGTGACCGTCACGCGTGCGCACGATACGCCAGCACAGTGAGAGCGGCTGCTGGCTCCTTGTTTGCCGCTGCGAGTCAGGCCAACTGAGCAGGCATGGTGCATGTCATCCATGTCATCACCATCACCCGCGTCACCATCATCACCACCACCATCGCCATCATTATCACCGTAAGCCGCCTCCGCGACTGGTAAGTGCGGCCGTTCCAAGGTAAGCAGTCATGGTGCATGTCATCACTATCACAATGTCATGACGCGTCACCATGATCAGGAACACCATCACCGTCATCAACACTCTTATCACCGTCACCACCATCACTGCGACACCATCACCATAAACATCACGATCACGAGCCGCCTCCTCGACCACGGTCGGCGGTAAAGTAAAGGAGTCTTCGACTTAGTCTTGACCCGATTCCCCAAATCCTCGTCCACGTCCTATAGAGAGAGAGAGAGCGATATACGGGCGAGACAAGGACGCTCGCGGGGTTCGACGGCCGCCCTTGTCCCCCGCCTGATGGCCCGCCGCCTGGTCCCGGCCGTGCCCCGGCAGCCCGGCCGCCGGCCCCGCCGCGGATGCCCCGGCGCTGCGCTGCGCTGGACCATCCTGGCGCGCGCCGCCCGCCCGGTCTGCCTTCATTTCCGACCTTGCCAAGTGCAAGGCCCGCCGCCCCGGCCGGCCCCGCGCCTCATATTTATTAATTCCCTCTTTCTCCTGCTCGCTGGAGTCCTGCTGCTCTTCCTCTTCTTTTTATTTAAAACTCCAGCGCGCCAAAGTTGCAGATTATGTTGTTGTTGTTGCTCTCCTCTCATTAGTCCGTCTGGCCCGCAAAATACATTTTTCTTCTTTTTCTTATCAATCCTTGTTTTCGTTTTCTTTTTGAAGCGTTTATTTCTCCTGCCGTCGTTGCGGAGTTTGTTTATCCGTTTCCGTTCTGTGGCTTGCGTCCGGCGTCCGGCATCCGCGGAGGAGTAAATCCCAAATCCGGCTGCGTGCTGCGTGGTGGTCTCTTGGTGGTCACTCAGGACCAGCTCGCCACACTGGCGCCTAGGCGGCCTAGGCTGGTCGGGCGGAGAGCGCCCGCGAGCCCTCCGCGCCGGGGGAGTTTGCAGGCTGCCGGCGCTGCGGCCGCTGCCGGGGCGACACCGGTCCGGTCCTGCCAACCGGACCGGATTTCTTGTGTCCAGTTTGAGGAAGCTGCCTTGACACACTTCCAGGAGATCATGAGAACGCGCCCTCCTCGCGCAAGCGCCTCATCTGTCACGAGTGCAGGGCGCATGGGACGTGGAAAGAGATGTGAGGAGATTAAGGAATCCAGACGAGGGGGGGGGTCGTTCACCTGCTTAGTTCGTTCATTACATGTAGATACCTCGGAAGGCCAGGCCCTGTAGGGGGGGACATTGGGGACTTGCTTGCCGACGTTTCTACATTTCGTGAACGAAATACAACAATGACCGTTTTGCTTCAAACATGGCTCGTTTTTTCCCGCGCAGTTTTCGAGTCATCGCCCCCCGCTTGCCGTTGTTATCAGCGCCCGCTTCCAGAACGGAACAGCCGCGTGAGCAGCGGGAGCTGGGCGTGTCCCTGGGAACAGCGCGCGCAGCAGGTGCGAATATAACGTGGAGCACTCTGAGAAGTGCGGCGGCGTCGTGTCCCGCGCGTCCCGCCACCGCCCGCAGCGGCGAGGCGCGCCAAAGCAGAGCCCCGTGCGAAGACCGGTGCAGCTAGATTGTCCGACCTATTTTTCTCCGACCTGGCGATTTTTCCAAAATCCCCAAAAGTGCTGTCCGACCTAGGTTTTGTTCGACCTAATTTTTTCCGACCTCATCGATGTGCTGAAATTTTGGAAAATGTGGCTCCTACAGTTATACTTTACCGCACGTTTGGTTTT